AGACGGGGTAGTTATGAAGTGTTCTGCTTTTAGCTTAGACAGGTCCGAAAGTACGTTCATGTTCTTCGTCGCCCGTTCGTCTGAAGTTTCCGAGTAGAACCAGTTCCTAAGGCAGTAGTTATCGTGACGATCCCCAAATGAAGGTAAACGACATGTTGAATCGATCACGTGTCAAATGAAAGTGGCTACGCTACAGACACTTGGAAAGAGCATATGCGGGCGAGCAGGGACTAAAGTTGAACGGCGTCCCAAATGTATTGAGACGTTCCATGACTAGGAGAGGAATATCACCGCTGGGGAGGACACAACACAATGTCTGGCCTACGAGTGAACTCGTATCTGTGTCCTTTCTTATTCAATTCAGTCCTGTAGCCCATCCTCGTATTCCCAACCTCTCTTCATCTGTCCGACTGACGCTGAACTATCTTTCAAGCGCCTCCACCCTCTCACGTTCGCTCTTTCACTCCACCACCACCCTCGTCTTTCCCTTAGGTTCTCCTTGACGATGCCTTTTACCAGCATCCGTTTCCCGTAGATCTCCTCTACCCCCTTTCTTTACCCCACCGATCAAAGGGATTGCTCTATTATACATTCGTTGTCTTGTTAAGTATAAGATACGATATTGTTTTCAACCACATTGCTAGCTCTAGTTCAGTTGTATTCCAAAGGCAATATTGAAGACCAGGGAACTCATATATGGATACAAATTCTCGGGAACTCCCAAATACGGCTGAAAGATACCCCTGAAGCCAAATTTCAAGTGCCATACTTCTCTACATCAGCACCTGCACATGTGAGCCCCTTAAAGTTATTATATGGGGTGCCAGGGGCTACAGAGGCTGATAGCACTTAAGTGGGTCTATTATATAGTCACAGTCATATCTACCTTGACTTCACTATAGATTAGTCAAGTTAATGTTCCATGACTTGCTGGCAATACGGTTACTGATCAACAATGAACGGATAATCCTCTGAAGTAATAAAGAACCACATCTTGACTTCTTTCCCGGGGAATAGCGGTGAGCTCACGGATCCATGGTCTTATGTGGAAGGCTCGGTCGAGTAAGTAGGAACTAAGCCAGGATAGGGATTATGTTGGTTGAAAACGGGTATATCTCAAGACTCTAAAGACGACTTGCATGAACCGAACCCTCTAGCTATGCAAGTGCCTGGCACTTGAGTCGATAATCAACGCAATGTATCCCCTTTGAAGCTATAATAATGTCTCCACACGGCAGTGATGACATGTACAATTGGTGCCCGCACACTTTCATAGTAATCCTAATATGCTTCGCTGGTCGAGCACTTAACCCACAATACTAGTCTGATGGGCATCGTTCCGTCCCAGCGGGTCGGTTACTGGACCTTTAAAAGCCCACCTATCCCAAGGTGAGCCGAAGAGGCCGGTTCAACTCTGCAATCCAGCCGAACAAGATCCCGATTTGCACACCACCAGAGACAATCATGGGCGGTGGTGAACACAGCCCGGACGAGCGATTGACGCTCCGCCGAGCGACCATGGAGGACCTCGACGCCGTCCTCGAGGTCGTCCACGGCGCTCTTTCCGAAGACCCCAAGTTCGACTACAGGATGCCGTACCGCGACCAGTACCCCGAGGACCACCATAAGTGGCTGCGCCTGGAGTACCAGGAGTATCTCGCACAGCCCGAGAAGTACGCGCTCATGATGATGACGGCGAGCGACAACGACGACAAGCCGATTTCCATATGCATCTGGGACTACGCGATGAACGAGCCTCATCTGGGAGGTGGTAAGTGCTGCCATTAAGCTCCCTCGGACTCTTGCTGGGATAAACTCAAAAAGCGACGGATGATGAAGACTAACGCGCGACCCGGCAGATCTTGGGGTTCCCGAAGATCCCAACGGGGAGGTGCTCCGGAGGGATGTGAACCCGGAGCATTATAGGGCGTGGAAGACACAAATCACGGCCGGGTTCATACAGTACTTCTACGCGCGGTATGCCATGCAACAGTGGCATCTCTGGGTCCTGTGCACCTTGCCGGCCTTCCGGGGGCGGGGGGCCGCAACGAGGCTCTGCAAATGGGGCCTAGAACGCGCCTCGAAAGAGGAAATGGTGTCAACGGTTCTATCCACGGACCCTCATGGCAAGAGGTTGTACGAGAAGATCGGTTGGCAACTTCAAGGCTCATTCACCATACGTGTTGGTGACGAGCCCGCATGCAACGTCATCTATCCGATGACTTATGATCCGTAGGCGCTCTCCGTTCTTGGGCGGTTTTGACGTATCTAAGTGGAAAAGGGGATATGTAAAAAGTTTGAGTGTTCTCAGCGGTCTTGTCATGTTAGATATGAGATTCCGAAAATGCTAATAAAGTTAATCAAGTGCACCTTGGATAGCGTCAGCCTCAGTTCTTATTTCCTCTCCTGTGCAATTTTAGAATTGTTCAAGTCAGACTGATTTCCATAGTTGCCTTTTGTCTGACGAGGCGTTTTCAAATACGCCTCGGGGGGGCTTGATGGTGGTATCCCGTGGTTTATTTCGTGACATTCACCATTATTAGGGTCGGGGAACCTACAATTTCTTGCATTCTGGGGTAAACTCAGTTCGGTGTGCGGTGCTGTAATGCAGCATTGCAGAGCGACGTGTCCATTCTGGACGCGGGGATCTGGAGCTCCTATGAATATCGCAGAGTGTTAAGGTCGCGGTGAATTGGCTAGCGACTCTGTATGACTGACGCAGCCTGCTTATGGGCTAAGTGCCAAAACTTATCAGCTTGGCGAGCTGACCCGGTGTGGTGTGGTGGTGGCGGTAAGTAATAGTTTCGCCTGGGGGCTGTGTTCATTGAATATTCTGGGAAGCATAAGCACACGCGCGAGAATCTGCACTTCTACGTGCAAATATACCTGTACTACCTGAACCGAGAGCCTCGCCGGTCGCCTCGACGGCTGCCTCGGCGGTTGCCTAGTTTCCAAGCGGTGAGGGTGTTTTCTACCGTCGCCTATATAGTTGCGTGGGCCTAACCGAGCGGTCTCTGTCGTTGGCCCCGACCTCTCCATGCCCCTTTTCATTCTGCAAATCTAATGAGAGCTCTATTCCGGACGTCCTGAACGAAAATAAGTCCGACCAAGCACCTCAGCACTTTTCATACCATGTCGTCTTACGATCTCTACATCCGCCACAGGCATCGCCGTTCCTACGACACCTGTCACTCATCTAGACGAGACAATCGGCATGGCTATTACCCGGCAAGATACATCGTGAATAACGGCCAACTGTTTCTCAATGACAGGTCGACCAAGCACAGCAACACATTCATTTACAATACACCAGAGTCACAAACTTACAGCTATGTACCGGTAACACGCCAGCCATCCTATTCGTCCTGTGAATCTAGTGTGGCATCATCATGCCGCAGATGCTTCACAAGGCGGACTTACTCCAATGAATACTGTTACGATTGTTACTATCTGCCGTACTACTCCACCAGCCGGCTTTCATGGGGGCACTCGAGGAACAGAATTGGATGGTGTTAGGTCGGTGTTGGTAATTAGGTAGTGTGTTATATGGTTACGTTATATGCTGCTCGCGCTCTTGTTTGAGAGGTGGGCCATTGGAAGTTCGAATATGTCTGGTTTTGGATGGCTGAAATATTGATAACAATATGAAACAATAAAGTAGCCAATTGATCTCTTTGTTGACTCCGGGTGTCCCTTTGCGTCATGTGAAACAAAACATGCTCGACACATTCCAGTCTTTCGTTCTAAAAAGCTCCGAAGTCTGAACTTTTATGTAACCCTCTTCTCTTTGATTTGTTACATATTCTAGCCAGTAAATAAGTTTATGACGAGTAATCAGCATCTTGAGCCCGCTCCGGCAACATGTCCACTTCACGAGAAGCCTACCAACTACCTACAGTATCGCCCCCTGAGCCTGGGTCACAAGTTACAAATGCCAAGGCTGTGTCTCAGAACCGCAATGCTGAGCCAAGCTCACAAGCTGTTAATCCCGAACATCAGGGTGCCGCAATACCAAACGCTGCCACCGTGTATGGGATGCAACCTACGTTCTACCGATGTGTTGACTGCAACACGGTTTTCAGACCTGCCATAACCGAGAGAGGAACTGTCATCTGGAAGTGCAGAGAGTGTGGGTGTAAAACTATGCATAAACTTCCTACGAAGAAGTGAGCAGCTCCCTTGGATGCAACACGCAACTTGGGTATTATGTATATAGGCGACTAACGATAGGATGTATCTTAGGAAGCGCCAGTTCGAAGCTCGATAGGAGTCCGAGTCGATCGAATCATAATGCTTGGAAGACAGTGGGAACAGAGGCACATGGGATGAGATATAATTGGGCGGTGGTGCTTCCAATGTTGGGAAAGGACATGTTAGTGTATTATACAGGATTGATGTTTGGCGAGGGTAAGTTGTCCCCTTCGACTACAAATATGATAACAGCGCACCATGGACATGGGCTCTAGATCTTGGAGCATAGATCTCTAGGCCTTCATCGCGATGACTATTCCGGGCTCATATTATAAGTTGCGTGGAATTATTCGTAAAGTGTTATCAAATAAATGTATCCGCTCAAGAACTTGTCCTGTCATGAAAGTTGAATTGCACTTATATCCCACACTATCCGGCTCCATAACCCTTATCCCTTAGCCCCGGCACTAAAAGGGGGCGACCATTCGGCATATAACTTTTGACCGCCATTACGTAAATCAAGCCCTTCGTATATACGATTGTATCACATTACTTGACCTAGAACTCCAGGCACCTATCGCGAAGGGCTTTCGAGTTCCACTCAATTTTTATTTCCAAGATATAATTATGCTGCATTGTGCATGGCCCCGCTAGGAGGCATGGCTAGTGAAAATTCTCCTGCCCTAAACACGCAAAGTCACTCGTATGGATCGACTTACTTCCAAAGCCCCATACAGAGGGCCACTCAACCGCTTCTAGATAATAATGCAAGTTATGCCCTTGGCTCAACATTCAACAGATTACACATTGCCTGGATGGTCTAGAGGTATGATTCTCGCTTAGGGTTCTAAACTTCCTGAGTATAAAATGCGAGAGGTCCCAGGTTCGATCCCTGGTTCAGGCCTGTAAACTTTTATTTTTGCCCTTGTCCTCGCTGGTTGGTGCTATAACTTTCCATGTATGTGATATATTATTACTAGGTAAAAGTTTGGTGTCGCCCCTTTCCTATTAGGCTGGCTTGTTGTTTGTAAACATAACCACATACTATCTTCTCTTTCTCTTGCTTAGCTTGACCAGCGTTCAAAGCCATTCTAAGATACTGTTCGAAGGACGTCGATACGACAAAACATTTATATGTTATCATTATATATTAAATACACACACAGTACAAAGACAGGAGAAAAATCTTCCATATCGAATCATCCCAGGAATAAAGTCGTCCTAGGGTGATGCAAGTTAGAGGAAGACGCAGCTGGTTTGATGCTAATAGATTCCACCGTAGTAACATGTTGAATATATCCCAATACCCCTTGACAGTGTTTCGCATAGTGCTTCAGCAAAACTCTTGCTTCACTTAGTTCATCCTGGAAACGTTGATCTTAGAAATGCTGATTCTGGAAACGCTGATCTTCGAGACGCTGATGTGTCAAAGAATGAACGTGGTGGAGGCTTCTCAGCGCCACGTGTATCGCCGTCGCCATCACCATCGGCAAATGGGTTGTCGTCACCATCGCCATGATCGTCGTCAAAAGCGTCGCCATCACCATCTCCAGTTGCGTCGCCGTCACCGTCACCATCTCCATCTCCAGTTGCGTCGCCGTCACCGTCACCATCTCCAGTTGCGTCGCCATCACCGTCACCATCGGCAGGTGCGTGGCCGTCACCATCGCCATCACCATCGCCATCATCATCGCCGTCGCCATGGTCGTCGCCATCGCCATCACCACCAAGATTTTGGAACCACACAGGTGGCAGCAGCAGCGGCTTCTTGTATCCCCTCGAGATGCGCACCAGATCCGCCCCCTTGATGTCGTTCTGGGGAACATAGGCCGGCGGGATGTGCCTCATGCGGAGCCTCTGGGCCGGGAACTTGGGCCTGTCCTTGATGCCGTCGATCGCCCCGATGGGCTCGATAGCGACGCGGGCCTTCCAGCCCAGGTCGTCGATGCAGTGGACGGCGAGCAGGCCCATCATCTCGTGGCGGACCTGGTGGGGGTTGAGCCAGCCGGAGCTGCGGGCCCAGAAGACCGCATCGTCGTGGGCCGTCTCGGCGCAGTGGAACTCGACGACGGCGTCGCACTGCTTCTTGATGAGCGCGAAGGCGCGCAGGCCCGAGCTCCAGGCGTCGGTCTGCGGCGGCACCCACGGCAGCGCGTAGGCGGGCTGCGTGCCGCTGACGCGCCACTCGGTCGCGAAGTCGAAGGCGATGCCGCCCCGCTCCAGGATCCGCTGCGCGCGGTGCCGGACGCTGTCGACGCGGCGGATGTGCCGCCGCGCCTCGTCCATGTCGGCCTGCTTGGCGTTGACGCCGACGTCGCCGCGCTTGGGGTCGACGATGCTCCACTGCACGACCTCGCGGTAGGGCACCGCGACCGGGTCGTGCGCGTCCCACTCGCTCGGGTCGGCCTGCGGGTCCTTGGCCCGCTCCGCCTCCTGGTGCTTCTTCAGGTCGTCGGGGTTCTGGCGCAGCACCGCGATCAGCGTCACGTAGTGGTCCGGGCCGGCGCCGGCGGTGCCGGCCCGGGCGTCGACCGGCCCCGTGTTGATGGGCCAGAACAGGTACGGGCCGAGCCGGGCGTTCCGAAAGAAGGCGTTACTGGACCGCCAGCGCCGGTTCAGGTCCTTGGCCCATTCGGCCTCGTCCCGGAACGGCGAGAACTCGGCCGCCTCGCCCGGCTGTTCGCCGAAGTAGACCTGGTCTTGGACCTCGGGCGGGAGGTAGGAGGCCATGGTCTGCAGGCTGCTCAGCAGCGCGGTGTCGTTGACGGGCGTGTCCTCGCGCTGCTGCAGCGTGTTGAGCCCGTAGAGCGCCTCGCTCGCCACGTTGGGGTCCGGGTGGATCTTAAGCACCTCGGCCGTACTCTTGGGTTTGGGGCGGATCAACCCGTTGTCCAGAACGCTAGTCCTTGCCCATGTGAGAGAGTTCTCATCTGCGGAGTCTTCGTGGTCCGCAGCCACGCGAGGACGCTTCCTTCGAGCTGCTGCCATGTCTGATTAGTCGCCGAGTTGCCAGACGTCACTATTATAAAACTGATATAGCGTGTGCAATTTCTGCCCTCCCTAGCTATAATTGACTGGAAAGAAGAAATGGATATGGAAGAAGTATCAAGCCTTTTGGATCGTACCGCAAGCTCATTCCGTCACAAATGTGAGAAACGGAAGCAGTTATAACAGGGGAATCCATCCGCGATGCGATACGGCTGCTCCTGTCTTTCATTCTTTGAGGTCAGTTCAGCATGACCGCAAGCAGCAATTGGGGCTTCGAAGCATATAAAGCGCGTCTCACCTTGGCTTTGTCCTTGTAAGTGACAACCTGCTTCGGTTTGATATAACGCCTTGCATCGGATTTGTCTATCCCTTCACCTTTGTAGGCCGATAATTAGCATCGACTTAAGTTTAGTCATGACTCCTGATATCATTACTCTTCGGATCATGTATGAATTCCCTTACAGAGCTTTGCTACATCTCTAGCAGCATCTACCTTATCGTGCCGGTGGCTATCGGGTGTCGTTCTTTGTGCATGTATCACAGTTTTGGGTTGTTGTACAGTCTGCAGCCTCGTTTATGTGTAGGAATAGCAAACATGTTACCACTCAATAATGGTCATTATGGCTTTGCATGCTTCGCTAAAGTGAAGCTGCAGTTTAGTAGTGGAACTAATCATCATGAAATCGTGTATAAGACATAGCATTCCCTTGAGAGTTATCCTACTGTATCCAACAACAACGTTGATCTGAATCCAGTTTGAACTTTCTTCTATCCATGAACCGCGCCGAAACGACCATACGCCGAAACCAAACGTACCTCTTGTGACGAGATGCTCTCTGAAGTAGGCATTATAGCGATCCTCCTCGGCATCATTCTGGCAGGCCTCCTCGCGGGTTATTGCTGCTTTGGAATGGGATACCGGCAGGGCTTTCGTGAAGCTGGCGAGGAAAATGGAAGTGATGCTTGAATGGTCACGGAGGCTACGTAGAGTGGCCGACGATATGCTTCGATGTGTGATACGAGATGTGCGAATGACGAGGGGTAGTTACTGCAACTGGTGGGGACTCAAAACCCGACGATGAGGTTCGAGGAACGACGCACATTTGGAAATTCATTGTGAAGCTATCATTGACATGAAATGGTCAGGCAGGCTGCTGCAACTACCAAACACCTGCATTCGTTCGACAGGGTGAAATTGGATGATCTTCATAAGTCTTAACATCGAGTAAAAATACGTATAACGCAGTAATGACGTCATAGCTTCGGGGGGTAAATCCATCCAGCCTCAAATTCTGTCTGAACTACAACAAGTGGATCTATTTCCCCTTTCTTTACAAACCTTACAACCTCTCCCTAGATACATCACCTCATGTCATACCCCATAATGCTCCGGAATAGGCATGCCTCCAAAATTGCAAGTAGTGCATCACTAGCTACCGTCCGTCTTGTCGGTGGTGGCAGTCGTATTAGCCGTCGCGGGATCGCCAATGCGCCAGAGCCGCCGCAGACAGATTCCCAGAACAAGGAGGAAGAGGCTCTGAAGCCGAGCGATCCTTCGAATGCTGATGCGAGCGGTGCATCGGGAGCAGCGGAGAAGCCCAAGAAGAAGACGATGGCGGAGCTGGACGAAGAGCTGAGGCTGAAGATGTCGGGCATAGCCGGAGACGGGGGCACCGCCGGCGTCGAGTACGAGGATGGCAAGCCGGTAGCTATGAAGCGCAGCGTCAAGAACAACAGGTTTCGGTATATTTGACCGCTTGCGCCGGCTTTACTAAGACCACGAGTTGAGTTTTGGGTTGTCTGCACCGATCTTCCGATGCCGTTCTGGTGCCGGGCTCGATTGGGATCGCAAACAAGCCTCCGTCGATGACGCAACACCAGAGGGAGCTTCGCCGTGAGCAGTTCTTCTATTCAAGGTTTTGTTATGCCCACGAATCATCCCTCAACGATGCTTTCCCGAGTACATAATACCTCGGCATTGTTGGGTGATTAAGGCAATCCACCATCCACCTATGAAGCTATTCATCGAAACGGGTCTTGTTCTCAAGTCCTGTCAATCGCCATTCGAATCCAAAAGAGTCCCCTTCATCCTAGATGTAATCAATTTGGCTGGGGAGTTTGAGAGAACCCCTAGTTGAAGGAGGGACAAATACGAAACAACGACACAACGATGCACTGAGGGGCAGGTAAAAGATGGTAAAGATCCGACAAACCAGTTCTGTATGGACACCCATACCCCTTTTCCAAGGATCTGCGTGACCGCGCCGGCAAAGAAGCTGAACACAGAGGAATGGTGTAGCAGGAATGAGATTGGTCCCAGAATATCTCATTTCCATGTACATATTTACACCCCATCCACATGTACATACGTGAACTACAAGGCATACCTAGACCTCCAAACAATTTGCGAGACAACTCGTGGAGTATATGATAACCAAGTATAGGTAGATAGGGCTTGAAAGTGATCCTGGTGCGTCGACAGGATTTTTCCCCCTGAGTTTGAGCAAGGCAATTCAGACACACATTGCACTGTACACATGCTGGTGGTAACAAGGCACTAGATGTAATATAAACTAGCAAACGGTTCCTGAAGAACTCGGAACGCTGATACATACCCCATGTGATATCTCATATCATGCATCCATCCACCCTTTGCCGTTAACGCCGAAAATTGCACCTAAGCCAGTAAACGCCGTAAGCGAAGAGATCCGCCTGCTTCCTACGACACTGCGAGAAGATTGCATCATATCTTTGAGCTAGGGAGGAACCATATCTAAGCTCCACGGGGTTTCGCCTTTTGCTTCGCCTTCTCTTTCTTGTCCTCCTTGAGCTTCTTCTTCTTGGCCTCGTTCTGCTCCTCGAGCTTTCGTTTGTGCGCCTTTTTCTCATCTTCTGTCTTGGCGATGGGTTTAAAGA